TTAATCAGTTCTTCCTTAGCCGATGGGAAATGCACTTACAAAATTTCGTACGGATATGTTTGGTAATTCTTGAGTTATCGTGCTCACAGACAAACACACACACATACACACACACACACATACACACACACATACACACACACACACATACACACACACATACACACACACACACACACACACATACAAACCCAGATGATTACATAACCTCCTGGCGGAGGTAACAATAGATAATGAGTCATTTTAGCTGATTATCTATCGTTTTTAATGCGTTCGGCACATGAGAAGCGCGACGTTTGAAACAGGCCTAACATGGGTTAAACAGATATGAGATTTGATGCTCCTGGAAATGCAAACAAAAGCTTTTGGGAAACGTCGTTATACATAAAAATAACTTCAGTCTATTTTAAAATATGGCACCTCTATCTCTATCTTAAAAGATGGCACCTCCACCACCACACTGTTACTCTTTGATGACAAACTGAAACAATTGTTTGACATCTATAAAGAAGAAAGCAGTTTGGCGATTGGATTTCATAACCTTGACGACGATTTGTTGACAGTCCAAGCTAAAGTGGTCTTTAACGCTAAAAGAAATGTCGGTTTCAATAGAAAAAATTCCTTCTACTGCATAATATCAGCAAACTCGATTATGTAATACAGCGAACTTGACTGTGTATATGATTAGCACTTTAGCCATACGTAAAACTTATTACCTCCGCCAGGAGGTTATGTAATCATCTGGGTTTGTATGTGTGTGTGTGTGTGTGTGTATGTGTGTGTGTATGTGTGTGTGTATGTGTGTGTGTGTGTATGTGTGTGTGTTTGTCTGTGAGCACGATAACTCAAGAAATACCAAACATATCCGTACGAAATTTTTTGAATGCATTTCCCATCGGCTAAGGAAGAACTGATTAAAATTTTGTTGAATTTGGTTAAAAATTGAACGAGAAATGAACAAAATTTTGTCTTGCTTTTCCCGGTCAATTAACAAAAAATATTACTGAATGCGTAATTAGGACGTGTATAATTTATGCACTCAATGCTAAGACAATAATGAGATGATAAACCTCATTAAGTTTCGGCCTTCATTATCTATTGTCTTAGTTGCATTTCACGCGACCGAAATTCAATGTCTAAAACAAGGCTTACGGAGTTACGCATTGTTACGTTCAGCAAAGTGCCAGTCCATTCAAATTCTAACAAATTAGATTACTTCAATACAGGGTGTATAAAAAGAACGCAACCTCGGAATTTCCCAAGAAATCGACATTGTTTTAAAGACAAAAGATTTTAGCTGCCTGGGAATTTAAAATAGCACAAATGTGAAAATTACTGCACGCGGGAGTGCATAAAGCAAAATTTATGCATTTATTTAATGACACTTAATAAGTTTTTATTTTACAAGTACTGTACAGCACAACAACAGTAATATGTTCTATTAGCAATTCGATTTCAATTCGCGGGGGCCTGAAATCTTTTATGCTTAAGAATTGTAAAGTGGATTTCTTAGGAAATTCCAAGGTTGCCTTTCACTTCCGAGTAACGGGCGGAGGTATGCAGTCTCTGAGTGCCCTCTAGTTAGTTGTTTGATAGTTTTGTTGACATTTTTAGAAATTAACTTTATGTTGAATTTCAATGCCTTAAAATAAACCATTTTATGTATAACGAAGTTTCCCAAAAGCTTTTGTTTACATTTCCAGGAGCATCAAATTTTCTGTTTAACTCATTAGCTCATGGCAATGCGCCCTTGCTTTGTCAAACATCAGACGAATTTACTCGTCAGTGGTATAGGGTACTGCCAGTGAGTAAATGGGTTATCTGCCAATGCGCCCTACTTTAGTATTTACCCTGTCCAACGCCAGACGATTTTACTCGTCAGTGGTAAGGTACTGCCTATAAATGGGTTAACAACAATAGGATATTTCTGACTCATTTAACACCCTGTATTTTGGATTTAATTTGTGCGACACTACTTTGTCTTTTGCTGTCAAAGGCAGCATTTCTTCCCTGCGGGTAACCTAGTTTTAAGTATATATAACAAACGACAACAGAGAAGCGTCATGTATGTTTACAAAAGATGGAATTCGAATTACAGCATTTGCAGACAATGTAATGAGCATATATTATACACATTGAAATAGTACATTGTCTACAAAATAGCAATACGGTATAATATTAAAGAGTCCTGGTCAACCACATTACAATGCGAGCTTTTGTTTACGTTTTTCCGTTACTTTTCTCAATTGTTGCCGCCATTTTCGAGGCCACTAAAAACACTGATTCTGACTGTCACTGGCATGAAAATTTGAGTTCCGCAATATTTATAAATACTAGCCAAAACTCGTTTGACTTGGCCGAACACTTAATACAGTTAGTAGAAAATGACACCTCGAATATTACCGATGTTAGTACTATTGCAAGTTATGATCCTGATTCGACGAATAAACATTAACAGATAAGCTACAACAGCGAAGTAAAAGGAGCATAAATCTTGATCAGAATAGGGCCGAGTCGGAGGGAGGTATTGTTAAGAAGAGAGGGAGAAAATGTTGTAGCTGCAAACCTTGCTTGAGGAAAGCAAATTGTGGGGAATGTAATAGCTGTGCGAACAGAAAAACAAGTCATCAGATATGCCAGCTTCGTAAATGCACTAAATTAAAAAAGAAATCAAGCTACATGCAAAACGAGTCGAAAACAGTCGACGGCCAGCATCCCATAGGGCGAGCAACCAATAGTTTAAAGAAGGAGAAGGACGGTTACGAGGAAATAAATCCAGAACCAGCAAAGAGGAAACTACAGTCAAATTTTTGCAACGGTAATGCTACAGAAATTTGCAAGGAAGAACAAAGACATCATGAAGATTGCGCTTCAAACCAACCTCCCTTGGGACCGATCGAACTAGAACAAAGCCATGCTACGGAATTTGGCATGGACGATTTAGAACAAAGGCAAAATGAAGATTGCATTCCAAACCCTTCTCCTTTGGGACCATCGGAACCAAAACACAATGGTATAGGAACTAGACATTATGAGCCAAATCTGCCCGAATTTGATTTTTTTCCGTCTGAAATCAAAGATAAAATGTGGGGATCTATCAGTCAACGAAGCTTCTGTGATGACATCAATAAAATCTATGACGAAATTGTTCATTTTAGAAGGAATATTTTCAACATACCCTCGGGTAGAGAGGGAAAGAATTTTAATGGAGAACTGACCTTTTCGCTGAAGCAATTTAACTCCAACTCAGATCTGAACTCGATCGCATTAAAAGCTTTTATGTTGCTTCCATCTTTGATTTTCAAAAGCCTTCGTCTACTTCCAAGAGTAAAGAACACAGCACAGCGATAGAACGAAGATTAGCTCTATGGAATCAAGGGGATTTTAATCTGCTAATGAAAGAAGTGAGATCTATACAAGATCGATTTGTAACCTCAAAGAAAACCCGTTCAGTGGACGATATCAGTGGCCAGATTGGTTATGCAAGGGAAATTATCCGCGGCGATTAAATTTCTGGATAAAGAGAGCTCTTCGGGCTTACTCGATCTTTCGCCAGAAAGTTTGGAATGTTTGAAAGAAAAACACCCGCCAGCCAGTGAGATAGAAGATGAATGCCTCCTAAATGGTCCTGTAGATCAAATCCCGCCTAATATTTTCGACCTCATCAATGAACAATTGATCTATGATGCAGCAATGAAAACTAAGGGCTCAGCTGGTCTGTCGGGAATGGATGCAGATATATATATCGGAGAATTCTGTGCTCGAAGAATGTTAGTAGTGAGGGTAAGATCTTGAGAGACGAAATATTAACGAAGACCAGAAACCTGATGAAGTCATGTTAACACCCATCCCTCCTTGAAAGATATACGTCCTGCAGACTCATTCCTTTAGACAAGAACCCTGGAATTAGACCAATTGGAGTGGGAGAAGTGCTGCGAAGAATTATCGGCAAGATAATCGTTCTTGAGATAATTCGTTCTTGAGGGAGGAGATTAAGGAAGCAGCGGGGCCATTACAAGTCTGCACTTGATACACTAATGGAATTATTTTGATTGACGCGACCAATGCCTTCAATCAAATGAATAAAGCTGTAGCCATGCACAATCTCCAGTTAACCTGCAATAAAATGTCCATGTACATTATCAACACTTACATAAGTCCCTCCAGGCTCTTCATATGTGGGGGAGGTGAGATCTTGTCGCAGGAAGGTACCACACAAGGCGATCCTCTAGCAATGCCCTGGTACTCAGTTAACACAGCTGTAATGATTCAAAGTCTGAGATTAAATATACCATGACTCAGCAGGAGGAGGAAGACTGGTACAACTACATAATTGGTACAAGTAACTGGAAGAAATATGGTAGCAAGTTTATACATTTGTGGTGTTACTCTGAGTGTATATCCACACCGGGCGAGCTTGAAAAATATGCCCGGCCACGGTGGGATTCGAACCTACGACCTTTGGAATACTAGCCCAATGCTCTTCCAACCGTCTTCGAACCGTCTTGACCGCGTAGCTCAGTTGGAAGAGCATTGGGCTAGTATTCCAAAGGTCGTAGGTTCGAATCCCACCGTGGCCGGGCATATTTTTCAAGCTCGCCCGGTGTGGATATACACTCAGAGTAACACCACAAA